TATTTTACAAATTAGAAATATTTTTTCGTGTTCAGAAGCCAGCAAAAACTGCCTTTTTGGAAGTTTACAGCAACTGCTAATTACATCGTTCTAAAAAATTACGATTTTTACAAATAAAATATTTATTGGTTTATTCACCACAGGAAGCCCAAACTTAGTTTTTTGTAAAACATTTTCTTGGTGTCAATGCCTTAAAAGAAAAATTATGGGATGGCCTTACCCTCAAAAATGTTTGTTAGGGTAAGCCCTAACTTTGTRCCAAATTTCATGCTTTTATCACAAAACGCACAATTCACTAAAAATCTGCACATATCTGCTGGACTAAAAATCATGAAGATAATGCAATCATTTGGATGAACGAGAAAAGCTCTTTGAAGTGTTAAAACGTTTTCCTGAAACTGATTTTGTAACTAAAAATTGATGGCTAACATAAGAATGAATGGTTTTTGTATTTATCGGAAAGAAATTTTACAAAAGCGATTTGTAGCAACATCTTTATCACATTTGTCATGTTCAACTCAGTCTAGTTGAGTTTTGAAATTGTGACTAGGAATAAAATCTTTTAGCGAATAACAGCTCTTCAATTTTACACGTTCGACGAGCGATACACTTTAGTATTCAAGTAGTTCAGTGCACAAACTAAATCGCATTCCTCGTTGACATGTCATACAAAATATTTTTCTTCTTTTGTATATTTAGATTTTAATATATTTTATTCGACTTATATTACAAGGCTTTTGATACATTCAAAACCATATGCTCGTATAAGTGTTACCTTGACCGAATAACCAAATGTGTTTCATTGTGTAGCTCGGTTGTAGCTCTCGTAATGACTGACAAATTGATCGAAAATCATTATTGTACAAAATAGTGTAGTCATATTTGAATGGGTTTTAAATAATTGTACTATTTAAGATATCAGGAGGGGATTCGGTCCCCGAGATGACCCAATAACTTTTTTTGCGGTTCAAAACATATAATTCTAAATAGATTTACGAAAAGTACGTTTATTTAGCTTTCTGAAAGTGTATACTTTTATGGAAAAATATTGCCAAGTTCGTGAAACATTTATGGTGGTCCGAAATCCCCTCTTGATATCTTAAGTATTTCTTTTAGAATGGGGTATTCATTGTAATTGCCATATATGATAGACGAAACTTGTAGAAATATAACCTAAAGCTATTTAGAACATTCGTTTACATCAGTGATTAAGCACAGTTGAATTTAAACATCAATAAATATATTCCCTGAAACATCTTGTGACTCGTGCTTCAGAATTTATATCTAGATCAGATAGGAAGAATACCATCTTTTTTAGTATGCTTTAAGTAATTGAATGAAATAAAATGATTAGAAAACAATATACTCCTGCACCTCATATTTCTACAGGTGCTTAACCCAATCTACATATATTACTTTTTTAAACCTCAAATGAAAAAACATTCTTCACGCTTTCGCAATGATTTAATACTAAACCAAAATTGTTTTATAGTTTGGTCAATAAATGATTTAAAGAAGGAAAGAAACAAAGATTCATAGCTGTAATTGCCCAAACTTGAAGCGTTATCTGCATGGTTATCATAAAAAGTTTGACTTTGTTGTTCGCTGTCGCTTTGAGATTCGGAAGCAAGATTAAATTAATAGAGAAAAAAGATGATTCTAAAGGGGATAAAGCAGTTTTCATTCGGAAAACTATAAACGCAGCGACCGACAGTTTAGATATGCTTTTACAATAAAATTCATTTTGAAATAATTAAGCTTAGTAGGAAAAATCTAATGTGTTATTTATCGTCAGTAAAAAGCGATGAAAATGGGGAAAAAAAAGACTTTTTTTTGGATGAAGCAGCTGGGGAAGAGATCTAACTCGGCATGAAATTCTTGAGAGTCGAACACACAACGCCATCTTTATTAGTACTATATTCTATTTGATTTTAAGTTTATGAGTCGATAGCATAAACGATAAATATGACGCAACAAGGATTACTCCATTTAGAACAATGCCAAATGAAATTATGAATCGGCAAACGTTGAACAAGCTTCGAAACCATTACGGCTGTAAGTCTATCGTTGAACTCAGTTGAACATGTTAAATATTTAAGAAATCCTAGCAAATCCTGCCTAATAATGTCCCCACTTGTCCAATCTGCCAAACGGAAATCGACCATAATCTTCATCCGTTGAAATTTTATCTTATCTTAAAGATCTGGGGTAAGCGTTTTTAAAAGTGGTATTTAGAATACGTGTGGTCGTTTGCCCTTATCACATTTCCTGGACAAAAAAAGCGGACCTCACAAAGTAGCATATATTGCTCGTAGTCTGGAAATCAAGAAAGCCGGAAGGGTAGAGAAATTAATTGCAAGATTGTATGCTATAGCAAAAGCGGGTTCAAAATCGTACAAAGCATTTCTGTTCACCGCAAAACTTATCCACAGAAACACGTGAAGCGTACGCATACTCAGAAGTTCTTCATGAAATGCCTCGTTAAAATATCCTGATGGAACAAGGGGATAGGGCTAAGAGCCCACTAATTCGAGGTGACGAGATACTGACGTTTAATTCGAAACCTTTTTGTATTAAGCTCTAATCGCCTAATCGCAGCAGCTGATAAGACAAAGGACATTTATACCTTATGACAAAGTTACCCACCTTTGGACATGCTTGAGGGGAAGCGATGTCGTCAAACGCGTTTTTGCCTTACCGCCGAAGGATTCATAGAGTCGTAAGATAAAAGCTGAAGGGTTTTTCTCTGCCTATAATGAAGGGAATGGTTGGAAATAAGAGGATGCAAATCCTGGGAGGACTCTGAGTGTCCGGGTAAAAGTACCGGGTATGCTCAAGGGGTTTAAAATCAGCAATTACGTATCTTTTAGGGTATCCCTTGGTGGGTACGAATTGTCCGACCACACACTCCTTAAAAGACGTTGGTATCTTTTAGGGGTATTTTTGAAAATTTCCGACGAGCATACCCGATACTTTTACAAAAAGAAGAGATAACTATCGATACTTTTACACCGAAGTCCCCCCCCCGGAATGCAAATACGGCAAAATGAAGCAAGATCAAATGAATGCTGGTGGTGAGAATATATGGAATGATAACAGCAAACTCACCTTTTTAACAGTTTCAAGGACCACTGCAGGATTATCCACCCTGAAGAACGACTCCGTTTTAAAGCCTAAGGATGACAAAAAAAAAAAAAAAAAAAAAAAAA